ACCTTCCTTAGTTATCAGTGTATCCGCGAAATACCGTCTACTAATAAGAACAACTTAAAAAGGTAATAACAATGTTTATACAATTACTTCTTCTTTTTATGTAATATGATAAAAAAAATTAACGTTTTTAAGGACTCAAAGTTAAAATGTGTGTCCTGTCGAGAAAAGAATACAAAAAGATCCTCAACTTTTTTAGCACATTTTTTTCACTACTAAGTCAGTTAACTTCTGACCATATGTGATCATAAGCCACAATTTATCAAATAACATTTGTTAGGAAAAAAAAGAAAAAAGAAAGCATTTGACATTTTATGATATTCAAGAACAAAATGAAAAAGTCTGAAACACAGGTTCATATTTTCAAATCAAACTAACTATATACATAACAATTTCGAAATGCAAACATCTAATGCAAATAAAAATGGCGATATAAATGATGAAAATAGAAACTGGCGCGTGATTTACCAGATCGAAATACAAGAATCGAATGCAACATCTCGTAGGCTTATTATTATTTTTATATTATGTAGGAGTCTACTTTTTTCAATCTAGCTGATCGCATCTGCACTGGTAGGCAGATGAAACAGATAAAGATGGCATTTTGCTTTAATTTAATAGATTGCCGCAAGTTTATAATAAATAGATTCCGACACTGTCATAAATCAAAATACATGTATATAAAAGTGTTATGAGCATGTGTTACTAAGGTTTGGTCTTGTTTTTCTAATAATAATTCTAATAATAATAATACAGAATTCTAAATGTAATTCATCGTAATTATTTCTGAGATATTAAGATATAAGTATTATATAAAAGTACAACATTGTGGTAGAGTACATCAAGAGTGTTTTCTTGCGTATATTGATCGATGAAAATAGAGAAAGTGCCGACTGTCAACCAAGCAATCGCGAATTCGAGCCTCGCATTTATGTTTTCTCTTTGCGCAACGGAACTAGTTATTTCCGGGAAGTGCAATAAAAAACAGTCCAGATATTAAGCTACCGGCTTTTTTATTTTTCACAAACCGAGCTGAAATAGTTTTAACAGTCACACATTTAACTACATTAAGGAAAAATTAGTATCTGAATGGAAATGTCGTTGCCTAAAAAACTTCGAAATAGCAGCCAATGTGTAACTATTTTTTTGTTATTATTTAATCCTTCGTTGAATAATGTGTCTAACCCTATTGCCCTTTGCATCCCTTCTGTTGTAAAAATCAACTTTTAAACTTATTGAGATACAGATCATGACGTAAAACTTGGCGTTTGTTAAGCTAACCACTTTATATTTTTCATTTTTTACAGCCGATTTGCGGGTTCGAACACCGTCAGGGACAAACCGTTGTTTTCTTGATCAAGACACTTAAACGCCTTGTTAATAACTCCAGGAACTGATTTGCGAGTGTGCCTATAAGCTTCAACTTCATAAAAAAAGCAAAACCAAATTAAAGTCTGTATAAACTAAATCTGTTTTGACAAGATTATTTGCACTAACATATAAAACATGTATGCAATTAATGAACAACCCTTTATTCGTCACTGTAATACTTAAGCCTAAATAAAAGTATTCAAAATGAAAGTAGGAATATACTTTAAAAAGATTTTTACTGCATTCAGAAAAGTTTAACGTAGATAAATTATTGCACTATCTGATACATATTTGTATTGCGCCTCTGAAATAGCACGTATTTCAAAATAATAACGCATGATTAGTAAATACTTTGCAGCTCAAGTGCCAATCCACTCAATACTTCAACAATTAGTATTCTCCCTCTATCCTTCCTTACATATGTAATAAAATGATTGAAATATATTTGAGTAACATGAATTTTATTAATTTACAATATAGTGAATTTGTTGTAGAATTTCAAAGAAACAAGAAAATTACTTTCTTTCTCGTTAGTCATTTATTTATTTTATTTATTTATTTATTTATTTATTCATTCGTTCATTCATTCATTCATTTATTCATTCATTCATTCATTCATTCATTCATTCATTCATTCATTCATTCATTCATTCATTCATTCATTCTCTGTCGTTTGTATTATAATTTTATTTTCATTAGCCTTTCTTGTACATGTATATCAGACTGGTGTTTCCGTTAGTTTTACCCATGCTTGAAATTTCATCTGGCATAGCTGGTGCAAGATGAGTCGCGTGCTATACAATGGCATGCTTAGGATGAAGTAATTCCGCCGTTATGAATGAAGTTGTAATTTCTTACGTTGTTGTAAGATGATAGTTACGGGTGCATTATGCAAAATTGTTTTATTTAGGTGAAGAATTTATAACAATGATGGAATATGGTAGATTATGCACGAATAAGTATCTCGGCAAGCCCCGTTACCGCCCAATGGGCGGATCCCTCGGGACAGATATTCCGATTCGAACCGCAAAATATGTCAGCTCTTATTAATCTGCACTCGTTCCTTTAATATGATCGTACAAGGTACTTAAGTATTTCTTTAACGCAATAAAGTCAGTCTATTGTATCATCAAAAATCACCAAGAACTGTGTTTTATATGTGGTTGCACGCATTAATGTTAATTAATACATACATAGATGATCATAAAGGTATATATTACAGTCGCACTGTCAGCGGAATATCTGAATGTTACTATAATAATAAATACATAGGTTTATAACTTATGCTATAATAGTGAAACTCGTACAGATATAAAATACCAAGGAATTGGTGCCGTTATTATCTACATAGCGCAGTGTAAAGTATATTTAATATACCGCTTGTTTTCAACGGTATTTCAAAACTGTTACAGAACGATCCCTTGACCTTAGCCTTTTTTAAGGATTTTACCAAAAGTAAAGTTATTATTATATATGTTATACAGTGTAAATTACATTAAATGATGTAAATGTTATTTTGTATAAAAATAAGACATTTTCTAGCTAGAAATTCTTAAGAGTTGTATTATATTAAATAAAATATTTTCCTTTTTAAAAAGGAAAACAAAAACAAAGTGTATGTATGCAAATAATTATAAATAATAATGCTTATAAAAATAATCATCACCATCTTAATAATAATAATAATAATAATAATAAACGATAACGATAATTAAATGAAATACATGTAAAAACATAAATTTACGAAGAATTAAGTTTCCGTTGCACGGGCATCGCATTATCAAGAGGATCAAATTGTCCCATTCAGTAATGAAAATCAAAACTACATAAAATGTTTCTTTTTAGACGAAAAGTCAATTTTACATAACAGAAACGCTGGTTTATGGCTTAACATGCGGTCAAACCAAGCCTGCAAGACGAGAGCAAACTCTTGTTTAATCATAATAATTGCCCACAAATTGATGCCATTCTCCCGCCGCGTAACACGTGGCAATAATCATCTGTAAGGAAAATAGAAGAAGGTACCGAATTAGCTATGATTTATCATAATAGCTTTCAGATGTTAATGTTGAACAGGTAACTGCCCTGTGTTATTTGCTCTCTTTGTTTTTACAAGCAATGTTTACCGTTGTTTTCTTCCTTCATAACTGACATACCGATTTTAGTATAGACATAAATACAGTATACAAAACAACTGTGTAGCATTTTGTTCTCTGTGATGGGATGTTTTTTTGACTTCTATACAAAAAAGTTATTCATTATAATCATGCTAATTACCACAGAAGCGAAAGGATAAAAAAAGGTAGTTCATTTTTATGTGGCAAATGAGTTAATTTCTGGAAGCTTTAAAATAAAATTAAAGTGTTTGAGAAATAAACATGATAGCATTTTCTAAGGCATAATTGACCTTTAACGTATAATTTCGCATTTCGTTTTGTGTCTTTGTCATGTTTTTTCAGGCATTAGTGGGTCATATTTTGATAATCAAACTACCAGGGCCTGGATCAGTAAGCGTGTTTAACTTACACACATGAAAAGCGTCATGCTTGCGTAATTTTATCCGTTAATACACGTTATTTTAACTGTTAATGTATTCCGGCGTGCGCAGTTATCGTGCAAGAATATGCAATAAAATGTTAAATGTTCATGCTGAAAGTACCTACTATCTAGATTTATTTTTAAGTGTTCAAAGTTTTCAACAGCACGCAATTATTTCTGAACAATATTTTAACACACACCTGATCAATCTTACATTCACATCTTATAACTGTAGTAGTGGGAATATTGAAAATTGAATTTATTATCAGAATCAAAAACATTATTATCTTTTGACGTCTAAATTGCTTATACATAATATGTTGTATGTTTTGTCATGTAATGTTACTAAAAACTTTCGATTAAATAAATTGGTTTCAAAGATTTGAAATAATACTTGTTCGACATTTAAGATTTTAGAGTCAATAACTTCAAAGATCCGCAATAAATTTCGAAACGCAATTTAGATTCTTTAAACTGTTAAGATCATGTTAATTTGTAAATGAGAATAAAGGCGTAAGTGGATAGGTACGGTTTACAGCATAAATGTGTGTCTGTTTTTATAGTTGTTTTGTTTTTTATTGTTGTTTTATTTTAATGTTGTTGCTGTTTTTTCCCCTTTTTTCTTATTTTAATGGTTTTGTTTTTTGTTGTTTAAATCATACTGACACTTTATTGGTCATATGGCAACCTTCACTGTTAAACATGCGCGTATCATTTCAGACCCAGTGGGTACCTAAGTAGAGCCACAGTCTTTCCTCAACCTAGCTGGGTAGCTTAATCACATGCAAAAAAAATATGACGGGATTCGAACCCACATTAACGAGAGGCGAGCAGTTTAAAGTCAACTGATTACTACAATAACCAGTTTAAATTTTTAAATATATGTTAAGCAGGTCTATGTGGTATAATAACAAAGTAAAGAGAGTGATGTTTTTATTCTTTTATTTTTACTTTATAAAAAATTTTATCACTGTAATACACGATTTATTTCACCATATTTAAAATGTATTACAATTTAAAATCACCAGCCTCTAACACATTTTATGAAATTCTAACATATGTTTCATTAAAACTACTGGTTTCCAACCCATCTCGTAATATTTTCCCACCATTCACACACATAATATAATAAATGAATATAATAGAACACTTTCTGCATTAACAGCGCCGTCCGGTTAATACATAATAAAAGCGTAAGTCTATTTTATATTTCATACTTAACAAGAACTTGGCAGATAATACTATAGCGTTTGGCCTTGGTCATTGGAGTTAATAAAAGTGTCAATGCTGTATAAACGTAGACTAGCTATGCCTGTCACATCTTAGACACGTTATCTATTTTTCCGCTTCTTTCACAGACTTCTCGATGAAGCATAGAGGAAGACGGAGGAATTGCATTTCATTGATTCCATACTTCTACAAACAAGAGATTGCTCAAAATTTCGGACAGAACTCATTGATGCGGGTGATGGATCATTACATAGGTTATTGGATTATACAAATTGTGGAATAGCTTGGATAGATAGGCGGAACAACTATGCAAAGAGGCTTACTGTTGTTACCCGGGATTAAACAGTGTATTCCGTCGCGAGGATATAATTTATTTGATAAATATATTTTATTATATTTTATTTTTGTGAATGAATAAGGGATGATTACAGATGTGGTGAAAGATTAAAATATCATAATAAATACTTTTCAAATCTTTACAAGTGATTTTCATCATGAATTGGAATAAAATACGGCAGTTGAAAGATGTATCAACTTGGGAAATAAGCGGAAAAGTTGTGATAGTGTTAATTGTGATCTTTTGTCAGTGTTGTGTAGTAAATACAAAACAAGATGTAGTACTACAAATTATAATGCCTTTTCGGTCTACAGTTGAGACCAAGTACCAGTCCACCCATGTTTTAACCAAGGAAAGAATTAAGCATGGCAGAGAAGTTGAATACAGAAATTTACGTCGGCAATTCACTATTAATTCTTGGCTAGATTTCACAAAAACCGAATCGCCGTCGGAAATTTTGTCATTGTTTTGTAATGAAGTGTTTACGAAACCAGTGAATACAATTTTAAGTTTAAACCATGGTGCGGGGACGGAGGCCTCAAATAATTATATACTTAAACTGGCGGACCATTTAGGATACCCCGTCATCAGCTGGGACCCCCACTACCCAGGTGCTTTACAGGTATGTTTTGTTTTCATGTTTTCTTCTTCTTTCAAAATAGATAACACAAGGAAAATATCAATATAGTTATCACTAATCTGACGTACATAAGTAATAATCTTGTTTAAAATGAATTTTACAAATTCCAGACACAAATCATTCCCGTTTATTATTCTCTAGAAAGATAATTCAAGATTATCTAGCGTCTTTAAGCGCGTAGTAAAGAATAAGATCTTTGAAAATAATCCATTTTAAAGACTTTTTACCCCCATTTCATATAAAATAAAGATATAATAAATAGTATGACAGTAAAATTAAGCTCAAACAATTGACATTTCTTGCAAAAAAAATTAAATTTCCTTCATTTACACAACATTATTGTTTGAAACTTACCTATAATACCAAACATAGCAATCATTGCACTGTTGATAAACAATTATAAAGTCCACCCATGATTACTACTACCAAGGGGACACTAAAGAACGTTTGATTAACATCTCCCTTAATCTTTTTTGTAGTAATTTTCAGACATGAACGATTAAATTATATATTCATTACTCTAAAACCCGTGATAGAATCTTCCATGTTTCTCTTTCGAGTTTTTACCCCAATAAACTGACGAGAACGATTTCAACATAAAATTTTGTAATGATGATTTTGAGCGGAACGTTATAAAATTTAATGTCAAATTACTGCCAACCAGCGCAGTATCTGCAATCTTAGATTGTTCAGAAAAGTAGTTTCGGATTTTATGAAGACGTTTTTCAGTCTCGCTTTGAGTAATATTTTACCATTAAACGTCCAAAAATTATTTTATGACGTTGCTCAAATAGAAAGAAAGAAACATGTAACTTGTAATTGAAATTTGTGGAAATAGTGTAGTAGTAGTAGTAGTAGTATAAGTAGTACTCGTAATAATAATAATAGTAATGAAAATAATCATAATAACCATAGTAATCAAAATGATGAAATAATAACGTTGAAAAGTAAAATGATGAAAATGATGAAGATAATAAGATAAAAATGGTGGTGATGATGATAATAATAAGATGTTCAGATGATAACGAATAAGAAAAAAAAAAGATTTTGATGATTATGATAATGCTTATTTATTATTATCATTATTATTATTATTTATTATTATTAGTTATTATTATTATTATATTATTATAATTGTTAATTATTATTATTATTATTATTATTATTATTATTAGTATAGTAGTAGTAGTAGTTAGTAGTAGTAGTAGTAGTAGTTATTATTAGTATTATTATTAATAAAATCAAATAATACCACTACAGTAAAAATAACAATAATACTAATGATAATAATAATATAATGATGACAACAACAACAAAAATAAAAGTGTTGATAATGATGATAATAATATCAACAACAACAACAACAACAACAATAACAACAATAACAATAATAATAATAATAATAATAATAATATTAATGATAATGATGATGACTTCAACAACAATAATAAAAGTATTGATAATAATGATAATAATATCATAATTTAAATTATCTTCTAAAACAAAAATTCTTATTCGTTTAATATTGCATATCAACTTCGTGATTTTATACCCATGATTGATAAATTTTTATTTGATCTTGGTGTATGAACTTAATATCTAAATCTCTAATTTCACCCGTACATGCAGCACGTTGTTTTTATTTGTTCTTTTGCAATCTTGTTAAAACGTGCATACGCTGTTAATGTTATAAGCAAAACATTTACATAGAAATACATGTAGCCTCCAACGAACAACTATGTTATTGCATTCATAGCTAATTAAATAAAAAATATATAACCATTTAGTGGGAATGCATTTATTGTAACAATTTACAATGGTATGATAAAAATGAAAATGTAAATATTCAATAATGCTTGGAGGGAATCTAGAATCACGTGCAACGGATTTATGGCACATATTTGGAATAATAATACCATTAGTCCTCGTCAGTATCTATGTGCCCGTGTAAATGTGATAATAAGTTGCCTCATCAAAATCAGGTGCAAATCATATCCAAATATAACAGCACGTTTGAAGCGGGACTTTCATGTATTTTTATAATACTGCACTTTAATAACGTCGCTTTTCATTGGATAATCGTGGCATTTATATAATTTGCAGGGCTCGGATTATATATATGCAAATAATCGTTTATATAGGCCCATATAACCTGTCAAAAAATCGTTATAACTAATAATAAATACGGATGCTGTAAAAAGTTTGACATAGTTTTCATTTTATTTTCTTATGTTCTGAAATTGTGTTGCATTACACAGAATTTATGAAGTTTCATAGCCTAGTATATTATGTTGCATTACACAGAATTTATGAAGTTTCATAGCCTAGTATATTAAACGGTTATATGAACTATCGACTTCACCAATCAAAATGTGCTTACCCTGTTAAAGTTAAATATAAAGAGCAACTACTTGATAACAGTCTTTTTAATGGATAATTTAAGGAAAATACTCTTTTTCATGTTTGAATTTTCAGAGAAACTCTAAAAAGATGAATAATCCCCCTTTAATGTTCATCGTCTGTAAGAACCTCAATTCAGTTTACTTAATTTAATCATAAATCTCCGTTTAGAAGAAGAAATCCATTTTGTATTTATTTTATTTGGTTTAAAAAGCTGAGAAAATTTATATTTCATATACGCATTATACGTGTGTGTTCGTTTTTACAAAATTGAATCAGATGTTTTGTAAATTTGTTACTTTTCTAGTTTATTACGACTGAGGAATAAAAAAATATTTTCATTTCGTATGTGTTTTGACACCTGGTACTTCGAGGTTTCATACGAACCGACTTTTTTGTGTTTGTTTGTTTGCTTTTGTTAAAACGATATAATTATTTAAGCCATAAGCTGTTTTCGTTGTACTTCCGGTACCTATTTCGACCGTACTTGCGTCTGTCCTTTTCGGTACAAATTTAACTGTCCATCAGATAACATAACGCTAGTTGTTTCTATGAAAACACGTGCATCGTCATTGAACATCTTTGTGGAAGTAGACATAGTAACAAAGTAATCAAAATGTAACAAATCTGGTCTGACTATGATAAATTGAAGAAATGACCTTTCTGACACGATAGTAAATACCTTCCCCACGGTCTTTGTCAGAATGCCAACTTACATATAACATTCTCATTTGTAAAACCTACTACAAAGCATGTTCACTTACACCTGTAATTGTGTATCCCTGGAAGACATTAGGTCTTTTAGACGTTCAGATTATATTTCTTTGGAAAAAGATAAGAAAAAATAAAATATAAATAAGTAATGAAGAACATTTCAAATTTTAATCAAAATTATTCCGATTAGAATTATTAAACCTGATCATGTTATTTTATAATAAATGCGCGCGTATAACGCACAGAAAGGTTCTTCCTTATATACAAACCGTATACCGTACATATTGTAACATTAGGGTCCGTCATTTATTCATTTTTGTCGCAATGCATAAAGACAAGTGTATAGGTTGTGATCGTATTTACTATATATAATCTAATCTATACAACACTTTTTCTTAATGCACAACGCTTAACATGAATAAAAGAGTAAAATAAATATTTATTAAGTTAAAAAATAAAAAAGGAAAGAAAAGAAGGAAAAAAGAGAAATTATTGAATACACTATATTATTTTATAAAGTATGAACAAAAGATGTAGAGCTAAACCACATTGATTTTTATTTATAAAATGTCTACAAGCACCGCATAACTCATGTAATAATTATTCTTTTGTTACATTCAACTCGCAAATATGATAATGAGAGGTCATATTTTAGTCCATTATGGCCTTATGGGATAATATTTGCATAATTTTCATTACAAGCTGGCATCAGTTCATATCTAACGTGGTTATGTAATGCTATAGGCACTTGTATTGAATTCTGATGCAATTAT